ATACTGTAAAAAGTAACTGCTTAAATAGTATGCGTTTTATCATTGATTTTGACTGCCTTTATACATTCAAATATAATTTATGGTAAACATGCACGAAAAGATTATTTCTTGTGCTCGTTTGGAAGCAAATTACGCCTTATTTGCATTTTATACTTAAACAAAGGGTATCGTTTCGCTTAGAAATATTTCTATTAATGAGCTTTTTTACGACTGTGAGGTGTTCATCCATATTACGTCGTATCCGTCAATTTATTAATACTGCCTATACTGTATTAGGCATGCTCCACATCTGTTGCAATATTTTATGAGAACTATGTGATTTCTTCCTCAAACTGTAGGTTAAAACGTACTTTTCTTTAAACAGACTGTAAATAATGCGCAATTTGTACACCTTGCATTCGGGTGTCGCAGTCATTAGGTTGATAAATTATCCGGCAATCTAGAAACTGTTTTTAAAACCGAAAAATACCCCTTTTTAAGTATAGCATATAAAGAAGGCGTGATCTGCTACCGAACGAGTACAAGAAATAATTTATGCATTAGCGCTTCTGCACCTGCTCTGACATACCACCTAAGACTCAAATTGTAATTACTATCAATCAAGTCAACAAGTTAGAGCTCCTCTCCCCCTAGGAAATGCTTGAAGCTCGAAATTTCGGAAATAGCCGACTCACCAGCAAATGAAATCCCCCTTTCTTCAATACACAAAACGCAGTTGTCAAATAAGTTCCTACAAAGTAAGGAGAGAATAAAAAATTTGTTGTGCGTTTCTTTTAAAGAAAATATAGCCGAATAAATAGGACATCTATTAAGCTAAAGTAAAAACACATTCCTCTTGAACGGGGTTTTTTTTAAAGGGCTGAAGAAAGGCTACATTTTTGCATTCATGTGTTGTCAGAAATATCACCCATGAAATTGTTCTTTCAAAAATAAAGAGGGCGTCGTCTTTGAGTTAGTTCAAAAACTTTTTGTTGGATGTATGCTATAGGAAACAAACAAGTCCTAGAAAGTCCAGCATAGCCAGACATATATAGGGGCTATAGGACACACAGTAGCTGACAGCCCAAATACAGTTCTGCGAATCCTGCAAACAAATTTCAGGACGAAATTTAACTT